GCTATAGTTAGGGCTTTGGATCTTAATCGGCATTTGCTAAAAAGTTTTTGGCCATTAATGTAGGAGAATCGGTTTACCTAGACAGTTCTATAAAATCGGACTGAAGGTACAAAGCCCCATACTACTGCTATATTCGCAAATGCCATAAGTAGAACTCACGATTTGCGGGCGAATTTGTAATCAAACTGTGCTAAACAAATACCCCTCCATAACCCCAGCAAAATGACTAAACTACTCCATCATTTAACTAAAAAAATGCATACAATAAGCTGAGTTAAAATTTAGGATGCTGGTAAAGGGTGAACTGAAAGTCCAGTTTACAGCATCATGCATTTGCAAATCTTGAAAATTTTTTAAAGTTCATTGACAGAATTAGCCCCAAAAGAGTAATGTCAAAGAGTCAGGATATTGTAAAATTTGCAAATTCAGTTGGTTAAGAGCCAATTGGCTGCTGTAAAGGTCTTCGTATGGTTAGTGCGTATCTGTCTGTACTTTTGCTTGTTAATGTTACCTCTTTAGTTGACTTTAAACACATCTGACTGGGATATCTTGATCTTCAGGAAAAGATTGCACCTGCTTTACTTCGAAGTCAACTTACTGATCGAAAAACAAAATGTGCGTTATGAAATTGATCTAATTCTGTCCTTAGTCTCGAAGAAAGCCACCTATCTAAGCGCTGAGCTGCTGCAGCTGTATATTAACGGTTGGTTTATATTATTTTTGTTATCGCATTGTCTTCAGAAGCTTTTGAACGTACAGTCGCGTCAGCAAAACGGGCCAACCGAAAGGAAGCAAAACTAGAAGATTTTGAGTCCATATTAATACAGTTGACGCTTGATTTTGCCGCATAGTCATGGTCCAAGGGGACGAAAATCGAGAGCTCCTTATGGTTCTTATCGACTTAACACCTGTATGGTGGGGCACTTATGCTCATGAAAACCTCATCCTCCCTTCCTTCATTGAATGCATTCTTGCTTTTGTCAATTGTCACCTTACACTTTCCCCTCTCAATGAAGTGGCCATCATAGGAGTTACCCCAGAACAGACTGAATTTCTATGGCCCTCTTTAACTCCACTGGAAGAATTTGAACCTCAACCGTGTCATTACGGTCAGTATGAAGCCTTTGCGATTCTTGGTGAGACAGTAAGACGGAAGGTTCAGAGACTCATAACTTCATGTGAATCTCTGGCTTGTACTGTCTCTTTTGCTAGCGCTATCAACAATGCTCTCTGCTATTATATCCGCCGCTGTCGTGAGCTGCGTCCCACTCTTTCTCTTCGAAATGACTCAGCGCCTTCTAACACTAATGCGATCGTAGCTGTGGAGGATATAAGCAGCCTCCTAACGGACAGTTTTCACGCTCGCATTCTTGTTGTGCGAGCAGCCGATGACAACCCAGCGCAGTACCTTGGCCTCATGAACGCAGTTTTTACCGCTCAAAAGCTGGGCGTCCTCATAGACGCTTGCATCATTCCTCCTACTCGGATGTCCTACAGCGCTGATGATCCCCTGCGCCAATCTTCTACGACCCTTCAGGAATCCAGCAACTCCAGCCTTTTCCAACAGGCTGCTGACCTCACCGGAGGTATCTATTTGCGAATCCCTCGACCTGCAGGTCTGTTGCAATACCTCCTTTCCGTCTTCTTGCCTCGCGCTGGTCTCCGTTCGCAACTGATTTTGCCTGACTGTGGTGGAGGTACTGGTGCGGGGGTGGATTTCCGTTCAGCGTGTTTCTGCCATCGGAAGATGGTGGATTTGTCTTATGTATGCTCAGTCTGTCTCTCCATCTTTTGCTCCTTCACTCCGATCTGCTCCACTTGTCAGACACCCTTCAAGATTCCGATTGTGGCAGTGTTGCCACCAGAGAAATTAAAATGAATATAATTTATGCTCCTATCTCCAGTTTTGTTCTTTTTTATTCGTCGCATATGTTGATCGAGTGGTGGACTTGTCTTTTCTGTTGTTTTCATTTATTTTTTGCAGTTCTGAGATGAGCTCCGAGAATGCTCAATCTGGGAAAAAGAGGAAGGTACTTTTGACTAGTCTTCATTTTTAATAGAAATGTTTTTCGAAGTTCTTTTTAGGGTAGAAATGTCGGATACGGCATTAAGGTCTACTATGGTAGATTATTTACTAGTCCTCAAGCTCTATCCGAACATTCCACCCACAGACGTCGCTAAGGCGGGTGCTCTTTTACAATTCAAGTAACATTGGGTGCTGACTTGAAGTCCGTTGCGTTTTGATTCATCCGGTCAATGCTTTGAGTCACTTGATCATACTGGGAAGCTTTCATCACTTCTTGCCTGTGTCATCTGCTTTTCTTGCGATTCTTACCTTTCCATTCCGTTAACAACATACTGGTGGCGTCTGTGCGTGTAATTAACACCGAGCTCAATGTTTTCTCGCTGCAGTTTGCAGATGGACTTCGATAGGGGTTCGAATATTGATCTTGTCTGATAGAGTTTTCGAGTATGCTCAATCTCCCTCCCATGTAATGAGGTGTTTATTATGAGATGGCTCAGCATTTCTTTAAAGCCTTTGGCAGTAAAATATGCTTTGAATTATTAGACATTACAATCTTTAACCCCTTTTGTAAAAGGGATAAACTTGCCCGACTTTTAGGCCTCTTCAAAGATTGACAAGTTGGCCCTAGTGTCAACCTTTTTTTCTCTCTCGCTTTTACCCATTAATCGTCTGTCCTATCCCACTTGTGATTCCCTTATGCCAGGAAAATTGGTGATCATAACTTGGAATGTCAACGGTTAACTGGAGTGCGAAGCAAACCTTTTTCTACTTCAGTTCAAAAGTGATTGTCCTACAGGTCACTTCTGCGATGCTGTTTATGTTATTTTGCAAGGATAGTCTGATTGAATATTGGCTGATTTTAAAAAAGTTACATGTACAATATTACTACAGTGGACGTGGAAACGAATTGAAGTGTTTGACCTAAAGTAAATAAGTTATTCACTGTGTAGTTCTATTTGCACCACGTCGAAGCAAATTGGACAGGATCTTTGGGGATGAATCAACGCATTTACTAGGGCGTCGAAGTGTAAGATTGGTAATCAATAGGATGTTCGTGAAGTAGGTTGCCATTGGGTACCTTTCATCTGCTTCAATCGCTTGAGGAGCTCTTATCACAAGGCCTTTTCCTGCCTAAAATTAATGGCATTGATCGTTGCTTCACTTTGTTAGCGAAATCCGTTTTGTTTGACCAGAGGCGGATCCCGTTATTTTTCTACCCAGTTTGGTAAATTAGCTGCAGAATACCACCATTTCTGAGCGTTAATCCTACGTTTCATTTCACTCTTTCCTTCCATAGGTAGATAACTATCAATTGGGATCCAAAGGATGGGCTTTGATGGTAAGTAATTCTTTTAACTTGTCTAGGCTTATCTAACCTGTTCGCATTGATAGGCTGGCTGGGTAATTTTCTTAACCATATTTTAGTATGGCTGTCTTATATTCGCGTTTTCTAGAGTG